TTGAACCGTGGTCCCTGGGCTTTGCTAAGCTTGTTCTAAGTAGGTGCTTTAGACCACTGAGCCATCTCACCAGCCCCTCCCTTTTTCCTTTGTTTGCCAGGACTCAAGCGAAACATGGAGCAGCCTGGTATGGGCTCTCAAGTGGAAACAGTGTCTCTTCTAACTTTGATTGAACTAGATACATGATTTAGGAAGTTATGGCTCGTCTGTATTCCTTCACCTTCCTCTGCACTTCCTAATCTCCGTGGTATTTCTCTGCCTCCTGATCTTTGGGCTTATACATTCTCCTGTCTTATCTTCTCTAACCAAGTATAAATAAGACTCCTGCTTCTTGAAATTCTCTCTAGAGTCTCACTTTTACTGCTTAGTGCTTTCCCCTCCAACCCCCTCATCGCCATATTTTAAAACCATTTCTTTTTGATCAGGGTAAATACGTGGTCTGTTTTGATCCCCTGGATGGCTCTTCCAACATCGACTGCCTTGTGTCCATTGGAACCATTTTTGGCATCTACAGAAAGGTAAAACGCGCATCGAGCACCTGGTTTTGGATCCAGGGAAAGATTAAGGGAGAGCGGAAATCCAGGCTTTGCACGCTGGTGGAGCAGCCTGGGTGTGCAGTGTGGGACTGCAAGGCTTGAACAGACTTGTTCCCTGTGAAGGTCTGACTTTTCTCACAGGGACTGCGTAACAATGATGCATGAAATTAATTGTTAGAAGTAAAGACAGTAGGGAAACCTAGGTAGAAATACAAGCCTATTTCCTTCTTTTAACTGTATCTTCCCTTATGTTATGATGAAGAAGAGATTTTCTTTTAAAGACAATATAGGCCAGTTTAAGCAACGATAGTATATAAACCGAGAATTGTGAAAGTATGGCAATATTTGACATTATGTAAAATTGTACTTGCAATCCTCTAAATCAGGGGTCTACAACTATGACAGGCTCTGCCCTTCTGCTGTCACATCCAGACACTGCCTAATTTGAATGACCATTTCATATTTTTAAATGGTTGAAAAAATCTGAAGAATAATATTATGTTGACCCATGCAATTTATTTTTCACTGACTGCAAATAATGGTTTACTGGCAAGTGGTCATACTCGTTTGTTTACATCTTGCCTCTGGCTGGGTTTTTGCTACATTGTCAGGGGTGAGTAGTTATGACAGAGATTGTGGGACCTGGGCAGCCTAAAGTATTTGTTCTTTTTCCATTTGTACAAAAATCTGCCAACTCTGCTCTAAATCATATAAAGCACTCTGATGTAGGGTGGGAACTCAGGCCCCTGCCCTATGTCTTGCCACTGTGAGACTTTGGCAGTTCCTCTAGCTCCAGGAGCTTCGCTTTCCTTCTTTCAGAGAGAGAGAGAGAGAGAGAGAGAGAGAGAGAGAGAGAGAGAGAGAGAGAGAGAGAATAGACAGGCAGGCAGGCAGGCAGGCAGGCAGAC